CCCCCCCGCGTGCACTGAAACAGACGGGACCATGTCCCCTCCCTGTGGTCACCACGTGTGGCTATGCATGGGCCCTGGGCCAGTTGGGTGTGGAGCAGCCTTGTGCCTCCGTGGGCTGAGCCCCTCCCTTCTGCAGCTGAAGTCCTTCCTCCGGGAGTGCAAAGTGGCCAACTACTGCCGGCAGGTGCGCCAGCTGCTGGAGAAGATTCAGGAGAACGCAGAGCACACCCGCAGCCACCGCCAGCGGGTCTCCTTTGGCGTCTCTAACTGGCATGCAGTGGTCAGTTGGGAGCTGGGGTGTGGCTCCTGGGGGTGGTGCTGGCTGAGGTTACCCATCACGGTGTGGCCAGGGTTTGCCCAGGGTGGGGCATGAGCTTAGGCTCCCCTTACCCCCCAGGAAGCCTGGGAGAAGCAGGTCCGGGAAGAGGGGACCCCGCTCACCAGGTACTACAGCCACTGGCGGAAGCTGCGGGACCGGGAGATCCAGCTGGAGATCAGTGGCAAAGAGCGGGTATGGCCGGGGGTCTGGGGGCTGTGGGTGTGATTAGCTGGATTTCACACCTAGCATGCTGGCTGTGACTTTAAGACCATGGGTGTGTTTGGAAATAGTGCCAGGGATGACAGCAGGGGTGGGGGGCTGTCCCCAGCTGCAGCCTGGTCAGTCATGCAGAACTGGCCACTCCCCCTCAGGCTGATGGGCTGGTGGCTGCAGGGGAGTGCAGTGTCTAGACTGACTGTAGGGACAGATTTATCCTGAGTGGCATGCTGCAGCGGTCTGTGGCTGTCCTGGGAGTGAAGGCTGCAGATGTCGGGGCAGAAGGGTGGCTAACAAGTGGCCATGCTGGGTCCTGGTGAGGGGGGCTGGGCTGGGAGCAAGGCTGGAAGAGGGAACACTGAGGGGGAAGGGATGGGTCCCAAGGTCTGTGAAGATGGTGGCCTGGCTGCCCTGTTAGACACACGCTGGGGATGGGCCCAAGCCTCAGTGACCCGCTCATCCCCACCTGCGGCTCTGGTTCCGGGTCCTTCTAGTTGGAAGACCTGAACTTCCCAGAGATCAAGCGGAGGAAGGTGGAAGACAGGAAAGAGGAGGACAGGAGAGAATTTAAGGACCTGTTTGACCTGGACAGTGCTGAGGAGGAAGAGGAGGAGGAGGCAGCCTCAGACTTTTCAGAGAGAGGTGTGCCTGCGGGGGGCCTCGGCTGCCGCTCCTGGGGGCCAGGGCAGGTGGGCGTGGAAGGCCCCTAGACACGTCACCCCACTGGGCTCGCCCACGTGTGGCCCGGGTGGGGCAAACCAGTCTCCTGGGCTTGTCGCTGGCTCTTCTTCTTTCCGAGATGGGGGATGCTGATCCGTGGTCCCAGGCTGGTGGGGCCCCTGCCCCCACCTGCCTGGGGCAGATGCAGAGAAGGGTGGTGGGCGGTTCTGTTGCTCCTGTCAGACCTTGTGGCTGTCCGTCTGGTGGGTGTCCAGGCAGGGGTGAGCCCAGCCCATCCTCCTACCTTACCTGCCCCCCGTGCCTTTGCTGGTGAGAGTCACACAGACGAGCTCTTCTCTTGGTCCCCAGGGATGCCTGGGTCCCTGAAAGCACGGCATGGGGTGGATGAGGACGAGGAGGACAGCGGCAGCTCGGAGGGTGAGTGGCTTCCCAGGGAGGCACTATGGCCCTTTGGACCCATCTAGCCAGAGTGCAAAGCTGTCACGGACTCCGGAGGCAGGGCCACGGGAGGTGGCTCTAAGCCAGGCCCCGGCCCCTCCCTGGGGATGCCAGGCCAGCTGCTCTGTCCCAACTGCACTGGCAGCCAGCAACAGTGGCACCGATAAATTAATTAGTGATGAGTAACCTCTAAGGCCAGTTTCTTCCTGATAAAGCAGAATTTATGTAGTCTCGGTCTCTCCCTGCAGATGGAAGCCCAGACACAGAGGCAGGGCTGGACCCGGGGGAGCTGTGGCGGCTGGCCCAGGGACCAGAGGACGAGCTGGAGGACCTGCAGCTCTCGGAGGAGGACTGAGGGTGGTGGCCTGCAGGCCTGTGGGGGCTGGTGTCCGCGCAGCAGGGGAAGGGCTGTGGATGGTGGGCGGGACTTTACTTTGACAGCACAAGAGACCAACCGTACCAAGAGCTGTGCGGGTCCCTGGTGTGGTTGTGTGGGGCACAGTGGAGACTGTCCACTGGGAAGGAAGCTGACCCCATGTCAGGATGATGCTAGCATACACAGACCAGCCTCAGCCCCAGCCTGAGGCCCCACCTTCTTGTCTTTGGTTTGTCTGCAGACCCAGACCCCCAGGGCCTCAGCATCAGGTTCTGCAGGCACCCCCAAAAGTCTTTGGAAACTCCTTTCTTCTTAAGTCATGTTTGCCTTTTAAAAATTCTGTGTTTCTGTATCCAAACCCAAAGGGAAAACTAAGCTGTTGGGGAAGGGGCCGCTGCATCAGGGCAGTTGGTCTGGGGCTTTGAGTGGCTGCTGCCAGCTCAGCACAGAGGCTGCGAAGGGTCTGGGGCCCCTGGGAGCAGAGCCACGGTCCCATTCTCCTGCTTGGGTGAGGCTCTGCTGACAGGGGGATGTCCTCCCCCATAGGGGGAGGTGGCTATTCCTGGGGACAGGGGCTGGTCTCCACTGGCAAGCTCCCGCTCGGGGACCCTCAGGGTTGGCGGCTGCAGCGGCAGAGCCACAGGGAAACTGGCCATGTAGAAGACGCGGCCAAGGCGCCTGGCCACCTGTGGGGAGAGGGGCCTGGATGGGGCGGTCTGAGGAGCCTGGCCTCTGCCAGGTGCTTCTGTGGGCCCCTCCCCCATCCCGTTCTGAAGACCCCGCCTCCTCCCCAGCCGTACTCACCTGGGCCCGGATCTTGAGGGCAGGCCCCAGCTTAAGCCCCATGGTGGTCAGCAGGTGCTCCTCCGTCAGCAGTGGCAGGGTCTCCCCATCTATTCCCTGTTCCCTGAAGACCTGGGGCAGGAGTAGGCAGTCAGATCTGGCTTGCCCCGCTGGATCCTTCCTGCTCAGCAGGGTCCAGAGAGCACAGCCAAGAAGAGCTGTTTGTGCATCTTGGAGAGAGTTTTCAAATGAAGGAAAATCTTTGTGTTGTGCATGTGTTAGTGACAAGCCAGGGGCACAGACAAGTCGTGGGGTGGGGAAGGGCACTGGGGAATGGTCCTGCCCCCAGCTGCTTTCCAGGGAGAGGATGGTGACAGGCAGCTCAGGGGCCCCCCATGTGACAGCCCAGCTATGCCCCAGGGTGTGTGGCTGCCCCTCACCCTTGCATACTCTCCACAGCCAGACAGGCCCCCCACGAAGCTGCAGACATCCTCCACTGTCCACTTGCTGACGTCCTCGGGGGCTGTGGCCTCCTCCCCATCCATGAAGAGCCCCCCCAGAGGGCCTGCGTCGGGGAGGGGGTGTTATCAGAGTTCTGGCCTGTTCTTTCCCATGCCCCCAGCCATGTCTGCTGACCCTTCCTTGCCTTAATTGCTTAGATATAAATCAACAGTAAAGTTTTTCTCTCCACGGATCCCCCTCCTCCCTAAGATCCTCCCAGGGGTGTCCAGATTGGGTCTAATGCCTCAGAGGGGCCAGGCAGGCAGGTGGGGGCGCGCACCTGTATGTAAGTAGGGGCTGACGGCGTAGGGGAAGCCCAGGGGCAGTGACGGGGGCAGCACAGACCCTGGGAGAAGCCCCTTCCCCTCGACACTGGCCCCTCCAGCTGAGGGTTGGCCCGGGATGGGGTCTCGGCCCCCAGCAGCTGCCATCTCGGGGTCCTCTCCATCGGAGTCTTTGGGGGGCTCGTCCTCGGAGCCGTCTTGTGCCCAGAGCCCAGCCCCTGTCATTTCCTTGGACTCACTGGGCCGGGCTGAGGCAGAGCCGGGGCACCCCTTACGAGGGGCTTGGCGGGCAGGCTCCCGGGGCGGGGTTGGGGGTCCGGGGCCTGGGGGCCCCTGTGGGGGCAGGGCCAGCAGCGGCGCCGAGCTGTGTTTCAGCACCAGCATGGCCCCCCGCCGCTGCAGCTCCTCGGCGCCGTCGGGGTGTCGCAGGGCGGCCTCGGGCGCCAGCAGCTGCGGTCGCGCGCTCTCCAGGTCTTTCTGCCGCAGCAGCTCCGCCGACATCTCCAGCCTGGGCCGGGGAGGGCAGCGGTCAGCCGGGACACCCGAGCCACCGCCTCCCCACGGGCCTCGAGGCACCTACCGGGCCAGGTTCTGCTTCCGCAGGAGCTCCTGCTGCCGGGCGAACATCTCCGCCTGGGCCGGGGGCAGGAAGCCGTAGCCTGGCGGGAGAGGCACGGACCACGGGGCCGTCATGCTCGCCCTCCCGGCACCGCTGGCTCCATGTGGGGCCGGGGCGGGTCCTCGGGAGCTCTCGCGGGCGCAAGGTCGTGGGCCAGCCCGGGGGGTCCCGCAGAAAAGGGGCGACGCACACCCCCTTCCTCACCTGGGGTCTGGCACAGAGCCGAAGGCACCCCCAAAAAGGGGGGCCTGATGTGAGGGCCCAGGGCGATGTGAGGGGCATTCTGGGGCGACAGCAAGGGGGGCGGCTGCGACAGCTCCCTGTAGACGGCGGGACCGTGAGCCGCGCGCGCCGCAGGCCCCGGCCCCTCCCCGTCCCCACTCCCGCCTCTGCTAATTGCCGCCCGCAGGCGGTCGATGCGCAGCTCGTTACGGCTTCGGGTCGCCGTCGCCCCCGCCCCCG